GTGGCAGTGTAAGTGTGTGAGTGGCAGTGTGAGTGTGTGAGTGGCAGTGTGAGTGTGTGAATGGCAGTGTGAGTGTATGAATGGTAGTGTGTGTGAGTGGCAGTGTGAGTGTGTGAGTGGCAGTGTAAGTGTGTGAGTGGCAGTGTAAGTGTGTGAGTGGCAGTGTGAGTGTATGAATGGTAGTGTGTGTGAGTGGCAGTGTGAGTGTATGAATGGTAGTGTGTGTGAGTGGCAGTGTGAGTGTGTGAGTGGCAGTGTGAGTGTATGAATGGTAGTGTGTGTGAGTGGCAGTGTGAGTGTATGAATGGTAGTGTGTGTGAGTGGCAGTGTGAGTGTGTGAGTGGCAGTGTGAGTGTATGAATGGTAGTGTGTGTGAGTGGCAGTGTGAGTGTGTGAGTGGCAGTGTAAGTGTGTGAGTGGCAGTGTGAGTGTATGAATGGTAGTGTGTGTGAGTGGCAGTGTGAGTGTGTGAGTGGCAGTGTAAGTGTGTGAGTGGCAGTGTGAGTGTATGAATGGTAGTGTGTGTGAGTGGCAGTGTAAGTGTGTGAGTGGCAGTGCGAGTGTGTGAGTGGCAGTGCGAGTGTATGAATGGTAGTGTGTGTGAGTGGCAGTGCGAGTGTGTGAGTGGCAGTGCGAGTGTATGAATGGTAGTGTGTGTGAGTGGCAGTGCGAGTGTGTGAGTGGCAGTGCGAGTGTATGAATGGTAGTGTGTGTGAGTGGCAGTGCGAGTGTGTGAGTGGCAGTGTGAGTGTATGAATGGTAGTGTGTGTGAGTGGCAGTGCGAGTGTGTGAGTGATAGTATGAGTGTGTGAGTGGCCAAGAGTTGGACAGTGGCCTGGACACGGTGCCATATCCACTGACCATCATCAGTTTTGGAAAACTACGCGTTTTGCAGTGTTTCTATCACACAGTCGTATTGAAACTGCAAAATATTTAGGAGAAATTGGAAAATAAAACATAAAATGTGGTCTATAAAAATATTAAGGTACATTTTATTTTCAATATCTTATTTTTAACTTACTTTCACTTTAAACTAAAACGTGCAGACCAAAGTCATATGTGTGTGTTCTCTGTAGACGATGTATTAACATTTTCAAAATCAGCAAGACTTGACAATTTGACAAGAAAGTTTAGCTTGAATTTGTGAGCAAGTCTGCAATATTTTACTTTGCTACTCTGAAAAATGAGCTCCTGAAGCAGAGGCAGCTCAGCTTTTGTCAGTAACTAGCTCGGCATTCAGAAACAGTTCAAACGTATTTCTCTGATAAGCTGACATGTTGGCACTTTGTGCACTGAGGAGGTAAAACCAGCTGTAGAAGACGACGAGTCTCCATCAGCATTCAGTGTTAACGGTTAGTTGTAGTTTTAGCTCATCCGGGTCTGTTATGTCACTCATCCAACATGGAAACCTACAGATTTCTCTCGGCTATTTCTGAATAATAAAATAGGAAATGTGTTTCTCCACGTGGATTTTTCTTCAAGTTTTTCTTTGCTGCTGTTGTTTTTCCTTCTCAGTTGGTGACCAGATATCGATCCATGAACTCTTATGGATAATCAAAAATTAAAACTTTTGTTTTGTTTTTCTTTTTGAGGTCAGTTTTGGTTTGAAAACCTGTGCAGCGTCTGTGAATTAGATTACTAACAATTCAATTTCAGAATAAGCATTTTCTCCCTTAAAACCTCACAAACTGTAAGTTACACCAAACTTGGTAGGATGACGGCAACGGCTCCCACTCCCACGACTAAAAGTGCTTGGACCCACACATTGCCACCACTATCATTTTATCTCTCTGTAGTTTGAGGACATTTTCTCGATTTGTCCATCTCTTCTTAAACTCTCCTCTAAAGGCTCTTCATATATCATGATCCTCATATGTTTCATATCTAAATGCTCCGTTATCTTCATCACTACTTTCCAAAAACGCTGCAGCAGCTTCAGCAGCTCTAAACTCTCTGCACGCCGTTTCACATGAGTCTCCGATGTGGACTGAATGAAGAATGAAGGGTGTCCGGCGTGATGGTCAGTCCTTAGTGATTTCCTGAGTGTCCATCGGTCAGTTTCACACAGATTGTAGACGGACACACAAATCCACCAGCTCCACGCGGTGAGAGGCAGATGACGTGTATCTCAGCCCCTCTTCATAGGCTCATAACTCCGGATGTGAGTCTCGTATGACCTCGAGATAAGATGGAATGGAAAGGGCGACTCTACAGATTCAGGAAGTGTTTGAACTGGATTTCTGAGCTGGATCATCACAAAGAAACAGACACAGATATAGAGACAGAGAATTTGTGAGTTTGCGGACCCCAGTGGGTTGACCTGTACAGCTCATTGACCGACACTGCTTGTTTTTAAATGCGTTTTATTAATAAAGTGGAGCCAGTGCTGTAGCTGTGTTGAGGGGAAGTGAAGGAAAGCCTGAAGCGTGTTTATAACTCAGTAACACATTTTCATATTCAAATGTGCAGCACCTGATCAAAGGCAGCGAGTTTGAGTTCTTCAGTTTATATCCTGCATCTCCAGAGCGGATCTCAGTAAAGCCTGCAGCGTCTGCACACAGCCTGCACACTGCATCCGCACCATATGGCCACCACACATAAACACACAAACACATCCACACCAACACACTCTTACACAACTTCTCCTCATCACTTCTGACAGACTTTGGCCTTTAACCCCTTAAAATCTCAGGCTTATTACACACTGAGGCTTATTATTCAGTAACTACAGGGACTTCAGTGCAAACTGGCTGGGCTATTCTCAGATTATAGAAGTGTGTAATAAAACTTTGGGTCCTGGCCATTTAAGGGCTTAAAGAGATAGATTACCAATAAACACAATCCCCCAACTGATAGTGTTCTGATAACATCACAGTCACACTGCCATCATTTTGGTAGCAACATCAAGTCCATTCAGCAGCGCTGTGGCTATTTGTAATGAGATAAAGTCATAACATTTTTAAAATACTTTTTAAATGTTTAAAGCATATTAATCAAATTGTCTAAGCATATTAACTTGGTTTTATTTGATTTGTTGCTGTATTGATAACAAATGAAAGCTGAAATCTAAACGGCTGAGATTTCCCGCAGTATTACTAGCGTCCTGTCCCAAACCGCACACTAGCTCACTAAACAGTGTGTAAAAATAGTGCATATCCCATTAGAAGTGCACTCATTCGTGCAGGAGGTGAAGTACAGAAGTGTGTGGTTTGGGACGCGGCGTTAGATCAGCCAGTGAGACGCGTTCAGCAGCTGCTCTGCTGTGCTGCTCATTAGCTGCTCATTAAACACCTCCAAGAGAAAGTTTGAGGTGTTAGTTGATTAAAGAGCTTTTATTGAGGTAATCAAAGAAAACGTCCCCTCAGCTGGGAATTTCTACTCAGAAAGTCAGGAACTCTAGAATGCAGGTCTGCAGCTTTCAAATAGAGAGCTGACCAAAAGACGTTGAGTTTCTCAGTATCACATTACTTAACATGTGATTTCCATCAACAAATTTCATTGAATCAGTCAATTCTAAACAAGCGTCTAAGCTAAAGATGAACTTTTACCAAAAAATCATTTTGTGCTAAACAGCGCAAAGGCCTTAAAAGAAGCATTGAAAGACTACACCCCACCAATTAGCATAATGCTAACTGCATGCCTAAATCACCACACACGTCTCAAACTGCGTCTCTGTCTCTGATAGACTTGTCAGATGTTAGTTAGTAGCTTCTATTTCCTGTTAACTGCATTAGCCTCGTAGCTCCAGTGCTGTTGTGGCCGACTGACTACATTTGGAATGTGATTTTTCACCAAAGTGCTTTAAAATAAGAGAATTTAGAGAGTCAGACTTTGTGTCCCTGTCTTGATCGAGTAGCTTGCTGTCGAGACTCTAGTGCAGAAAATAAGATTATTATTTTTAAAAATACATTTCTGTTGTCAGTATATGATACAGAGGACTGAACCTGTGATCGCTGTGGATGGTGATGTTCTGTGTTGCTGTGTTTGTTTGTGTTTATTTGATTTGCTCTGTTTTTAGATGCTGCTGTTTTGATTTCCTCAGACTTTCCTGTTTATTTCACTCAGTGAGCTCAGAGTGCAGACAGACAGACAGAGAAACAGAGTCATTACATACTCGATCAATACAGCCCACTGACACCACACGGCTGGCAGCACGGTGGACATTAGTGACCACAGAGCTAAAGAACAAGGTCAGGAAGCCTGAGAGTAACACTGAGAAAAACACTGAGAGCAACCACTACAGCATCTTCACCATTAAACATCATCATCATCATCATCATCACTCTCACTGTGGGCAACATCACTGTCACTGAACTAAACAAAAACAGTGCAGACTTAAACCTGTCAAAACAAAATATAAACTGAATGCAAATATATTTTATTAATTAATTTACTATATAAGTGCATAATTATGTTGTTGCATTTAAATAATTATTCAATGTAAACCAACTGTATAGCAAAATAACAGTAATAAATCTAGACTTTTAAGGGTTTTATTTATTAATAGATCACATTTCCCAAAAACAGACTTTAACCTTGTTCAAAAATCAGACTAGAAAATTCAGCAAAACTCTTTCTCAGCTCCTCTCAGTTTTCTGACCCAGCGCTTTAATGCCTCCATACTCCAGCCAATAAACCAACACCGTCTTATTCACATTCTCGAGGCCAAGATTGTGTCCATATGAACAGGTGTATGTGCAGGTATATGAATAAGTATATGTGCAGAGGTATATGTGTACATTTACAGCACTTGGCAGACACTCTTATCCAGAGACACTTACAATTTAATCATTTTACACAGGTAGGCAAAGGCAGTGTTAAGAGTCTGACCCAAGGACTCTTATTGGTATAGTGTAGTGTACTGAACCCCAGCCTACAGCATGGAAGGCAGAGGTGTTACCCACTACACTATACTAACCACTGTGTGTAGGTATATGTGCAGATATATACGCAGGTATATCAACAGGTATATGAGCAGGTACTGAGATACGTTTGCTCACCTTGCCCAGGCCGGGGTTGTCTCGGACCTTGCTGATGGCTCGGAGCAGGCAGGGCGGGGCTGGGGGTGGCGATACTTGCAGGATTCCACTGAAATTGGTGGGGAAGAGTGGAGGGTCACATGCCACAGGGGGCGCCGGACGCTGCTTCTTCTTCTTAGAGGAGAGGTTCAGCTTCTGAGCAGCTCTGTGGAGAAACATAATACCAAAATTTACATTAGAATGCTCACAGAACTTTCCAGCTCCATCCAAGCTCCGCCTCCTCATCATTAGTTTCACCTGCGCCTCATTATGTTATTGTTCAGTGTTTTGATGGTCCTCATAAACGTGTGAATTTCCGAGTGTCCTATGAGAGAGCTGCACTCCGACGGCTGACAAAATCATAGGCATAAAGTCATAAGTACAGAACTCAGGTTGGTTCTGTGAGCCAAATTTACCAGTTGTGCCGTATCAGCTGCCAGAACATCTAACATGATAAAACAATACACATGCTAGCAAACGATGGTCACTCACCTATGACTACTCATCTATGACCACCACTCATCTATGGCTACTCACCAGTGGTCATTACAATTGTGGACATTAACCTTTGGTCACTTACCAACAGCTGCTCACCTTTGGTTATGCACCTATGGCTACTCACCTATGGCCATTCACCTGTGGCCACTCACCCATGGTTACTCACATATAATCACTCAAGTATAGTACCTCATCTACAACCACTCACCTATGGTCATTCACCTGTGCATCACTTATGACCACTCACCTATGGCCAATCACCAATTTCCAGTTTATAAGCCTCGGCTAGTGCAGCCTAGCCTTGTCATTTGCATTGATTCCTAGTGTTCTCTTGTTTTTTTATTGTTCACTCATCTATATTCACTCACCCCTACACGCTCACCTATCTTTACTCACCTATATTTGCTCACCTAGTCACTCACCTCTAGTCACTCACCTATTGTCACGTACGTATAGTCACACATCTGTATTCACTCACCTATATTTGCTCACCTATAGTGATTCACCTATATTCACTCACCTATAGTCACTTACTTATAGTCACTCAATTATTAACTCACTTATACTCACTCATCTATATTTACTCACCTATAGTGATTCACCTATATTCACTCACCTCTAGTCACTCACCTATAGTGACTCACCTATAGTGACTCACCTGTATTCACTCACCTATATTCACTCACCTATAGTCACTCACCTATTGTCACTTACTTATAGTGACTCACCTATATTCACTCATTATATTCACTCACCTATAGTCACTCACCTATATTTACTCAGGTGAAATATGTACCTGACACACTGAGTCAATTAGACTAACCAGAAAAGTGCAGAAGCCAGAAACGGTCGATACGACTGAAGCTCCACTTCACACACCCCATCACAGAGTTTCAATTAGCTACGAAGAGCATCGATCAGTCGGGCTGAGTTCAGCTGAGCAAACACACATCAGTACAGACTCAATAGCAGCTCAGACGGCCGAACTGGACACCTTACAGGAAAACAGATTAAAGTACAGAAGCGTATCAGGGTTCTAGATGCTGCTACTGCTGTTAGCTGTGCTAATGTACTTTAGTCCATGTTTATAGGTAACAGTGAATCATACAGTGTCAGAAACCACATAATCAAGTCTGTTAGAGACACTGAACACAGGCTTTGAGATGATTTAGGCATGCTGGGTTAAGGGGGGTGGGGGGGGGGTATCTGGGTGAATATGATTCAAACTCTTGCCATCAACTGGGACGTCTTTTCCTTTAATGAAGCTGAAACAGAAAATTTGAATAAGAAACTGGCGAGTCAGAAACTTCAGCCTCGTTTCTCTTCATCACAGGTTTAGTCTTGGGCTAAATTAGCATATGAAAAGTGTCCTCTGCACTGAGAGTAGTTCAGTTGAATATGAAGGTAAAGTGAAGGTCCTGCTGAGCTCAGACGGAGCTACAAACCCCCAGAGATTTCAGCTCCGTACTGAGCCGTTTCAGTGCTGCTGCTCTGTGTGTGTCCCTGCGGAGTGCGTCCGTTCCTTCAGGGTGAGATCAGCAGCGTGTGTGTGTGTTTAAGGATGGAGCCTGAAGAAGATCTCTGAACACACACTCCCCATCAGAGATTGGGGGGGGGGACTGTTCAAAACCCATTTTTCCCCCCTAACTTTCAAAATTAGCTGTAAATTGTACTGTGAATGTGTAAACAGTGCAGGTCTAATGTTGCTGACCAGCTGTGTTAGAATGAAAACATGGACTGAAGTGCTGCTGTACCACAGATGTGCCACTATACCTCTTGGGCAGAGCCCTACACCTGTTTCCATGGTTACACTACATATATTTCTATCGTTACACCAAACCCGTTTCCACGGTTACACTACACCTATTTCCATAGTTTCACCCCATCAGTTTCAAGGGTTAAACTAAACCCATGTCCATAGTTATACTACATCCACCCATGGTCATGCTACATCTGTTTCCATGGTCACACGCTACATGGGTTTTCATGGTTATGCTACATGTGATATCATGGTTACATTACACATATTTCCATGGTTATTCTACACCTGTTACCATGGTTACACTACACGTATTACTAGTTACACTACATATATATTCATTGTTACACTACACCAATTTCCATGGTTATGCTATACTTGTTTCCATGGTTACGACATACCCATTTCATGCAGTTTCTGAACTATGCATTAGCTTAGCTAACACTAGTTAGCGTTAACACTAGTGTTAGCCATAAATCTATACAGAACTTGATGTTGTTGCTCCAAAGGTAAGACAGTGCCTGCAGCTAAAGTTGGCGAGCTAACAGCCACAGCAGGAGTTACAGCTAAATTAAAAATGGGTAAATATAAAAACGAGTCTGTGAATTTACGAAAATCTCGCTTTAGCAGTTTGTGGACACTGAGAACTTCTTTACAATGATTAAAGGTTAATAATGATTTAGTAAAAATAGTTGTTGATGCAGGACATTCATGCATGTTGCTTCAGTAAACTGTGCAAAATTAATTACTACCACACTTATTACTACACCTCCCTCTCTCTCTCTCTCTCTGTCTGTCTGTCTGTCTCTCTCTCTCTCTCTCTCTCTCTGTCTGTCTGTCTCCCTCTCTCTCTCTCTCTCTCTCTCTCTCTCTCTCTCTCGATGGTGTTTCTAAAGTTCGCTCTGAAGCTCTGAGTGTCTGTGTTTAAATTTAGCGATGTGTCCTACATAAATACTGTCACCTGCATCACTCTCACTCTCACACAGCACACACTTCTCACTCCTCACTATAAACCTGTCAGACACCGGAGAGAGAGAGAGAGAGAGAGAGAGAGAGAGAGAGGGAGAGGGAGAGAGAGAGAGAGAGAGAGGGAGAGGAGAGAGAGAGAGAGAGAGAGAGAGAGAGAGAGAGAGAGAGAGAGGGAGATTGACGTATGTGCTATTTTAAAGAGGTGTTAATGAAGGTTCTGTAAACAGAACCTTTAAACAAACAAGGTATTAAGAAAGAAATACAGCAACTCAACTCACATCCACACATACTGAATAATTCATAGTAAATAACTGATAATAATCATAATTCTGAGGTTTTAGTATAGAGAGCTCTCACCTGTCCATCATTTTAAAAGCCTCAGGAAGCCGAGCGTCCACACACACTCTAAACTCACTGTCCTCTACAGCACAGCACTAAACTCCACACAGCTCCACGAAACTCAACTAAACTCAACTAAACTCCAGTAAACTCCAAAAAAGTTTCAGTGTCCACAACGGAGAGTCCATAGTTATGCAGTGTCTCCTGAGGTTTGTTATTGAGGTTTAGCAGCAGAGTGAGTCCACTCCTCCATCTCCTCTCTCTGTCCCTCTCTCTTTCTCTCCCTCTGTCCCTCTCTCTGTCTCTCTCTGTCCCTCTTTCTCTCTCTCTCTCTCTCTCATGATTCCATTTGCTCCTCTCTTCTTCTTTTTTCTCTATTCCTCTCTCTCTTGCGCTCTGTTTACACTGCTTCACTACCTCTCCCTCGATCTCTCCCTCTGCATCCCCTTCCCTCCCCCTGTCTCTCTCTGTCTCTCTCTCTCTGTCTCTCTCTCTCATTATCACAGTGATGAGGACCTGGATGTCTAAATTGCTCATAATGAATCACCTCTGAAAACTCTTTTTAGTCATGACCATGTTTAATCTGGGAAATCTGCCCATTAGCATTAGCATTAGCATTAACATTGTCCATATTCATTTCTATTAGATTTTCAGTTATTTTCTTTACAGTCTGTTTATTATTTAGTTAGATATCACAGGACCTGGAGAGAGTTATTAGCGTTAGCATTAGCTCTATGAGGTACATGTCCGCTGTCTGAGGACTTCCAGCAATAATATTTGAGCCAATAACATGAGTCATAAATTTCACAGAGAAATGACGTGTAATCAGTTCTGATTGGCTGATAGCAGCATCTTTAACTCAGTGATGATGACAACAGCTGAGCTGTGTCACTCTGCGCTGCTGCATGAGCAAAGAAAAATAAACTGCTTTTAGTGACCCTGTCAGTCTAATATAACAAAGAGAGCCTGAAACGTGGTTCAAAAAGTAGAATTAGAAAAAAGAAATGTGGAAGTTTATGAAGAAACAGGATGTTAAGATCCAGGCAGGATTCATACTGTCTGGCCACTAAGGCCAGCTGAGTTTACCCAGCCCCAAACCAAACCCCACCTGCCTGTTAAAACCCACCCACCTCTAAAAACCCAGCCCTCAGCCAAACTCCACCCCCACCAGACCCCACCCACCTCTAAAAACCTAGCCCCAAACCAAACTCCACTCTATCAGACCCCACCCACCTCTAAAAACCCAGCCCCAAACCAAACTCCACTCTATCAGACCCCACCCACCTATGAAAACCCCACCCCATCCAAACTCCACCCTCACAATCTGGATTGAGTTTTTCAGACCTCACCTACCTCAGAGAACCCAATCCCTAGCCAATCCAACCTGCCTGTTAAAGCCCACCCCCCAAACCTTACCCCCTCTAAAAATCCAGCCCTCAGCCAAACTCTGCCTCATTAGACCCCACCCACCACTAAAACCCAGATACCAGCCAAACTCCACCCACCTGTCAAAAGTAGGGCTGACAGTTCAATTTATTCTTCCATAAAGCCAAAATATTGTTTTATTTTTTTCACACTGTATAAACATTTAAACGAACTGA